GCTGGCCTCACTATTTTTGGGAGGCATGAACCGACAAATGTGAGGAGGGATGAATTAGAATTATTGGCATCCTATGTAATCCATAATGCTGAAAAATTGAACATACCCCATAGGATAGCCAATCACTTCCAAAGGGCGGCCAATGCGGCCGAAGCGGGTAGGTCTAGGGCACCTATTTATTTTGGGGGGTTTAGTGACCCATATTGCCATAAAACACCTAGGTTGGAACCCAGATGGGCATAGGAAAGTAGTAGGCTCAAACCTCATGGACCTAGCCTATTTAGGGAGCCTAAATTGGGTGCAACCCGTGGGAGGTGACACTTGGTGGATAGTCCACCGACAATTGGGTAGGAGAGACCAAGCCTTTACCTTACCCAACCCCGCCTTGACCAAATTTGAGAAGGGGAAGCCTTCTTACACATTGAGATTAACGGTCAAGGCGAGGTTCAAGCACCTCACCCTTCACCACAACCCCACCAATCACCCCAAGACTAATCCCCCCCCCCCACACCATTCACCACACTACCCACCACCTCCACCCTTCACCTATGGCATACCCACTTCCTCGATCGATTATAACGTCGACCCCAATGCCCCCATGAATTTTCGGCTTTTAGAAGCCAACTAGACCGTATAGAGATGGGGCAAGGGAGAGTAGAGGGCATGATGCAAAACCTAGATTCTAGGTTAAGCACCTTGGATGGTCGGGTAGGTTACATAGAGAGGAACCTTGGAAGGGGTCTATACCCTATGTACGATGACTATGCACGCCGAGGGGCTATCCCCCCCGAGGCATTAGTTCCCGACTAGTTCCAATACCCCCAAGGAGGGTATTCCACCCCCAAAGAATTTGGTACTTATGTGGACTACTCTTCAGTCCATGGATATGGGGGTGATGCTCCTCTTGGGGGTATGGGGGGAAATGTGAACCCTAACTACTTTGCAGGTGGTTCGGGTTATGGTGGTGCTGGAACGAGCCAAGGTGGTGCCGGCTCGAGCTATGGAGGAGGGTATGAGAGGATGGATGATGATGAGGAGTAGCTTCTCCTATCTACCTTCCCAAGTCAATGAGGGCATTGCTTGATTTGGCTTGGGGGGGAGATTTCTTGTATATGGTAACTCTCTTTCTCTCTTCTCTATTTATTGCTTTCCTAGTGTAGTTTTTTATTGCTTTCCTTATTAAAAAATACAAAAAAATTTTAAAAAACAAAAAAAATTCAAAAATACGTTCCAATGAATTGTAAATCATGCTTCCCTGTGTCCCATACTTAGAAAATATTGTTTTGATTCTTGGTATATGATAATGAGATTTGTGAATTTGTTGATCATGATTTGAAGTTTAATTGTTTAGATTCCTAAACATGCGTCAATTTTGCCAACTATTTGTGAATATAGTTCTTGACTAGTTGATTTGGTTAGGAATGTGTGTTAGTTCCTGGTATGTCAATGAATTTGAGTATTGGTCTACAACTATTAGTAATGTTTATATAGCTCAATATTATGCACATCGAGGAGGACGAAGGCATTTGTTCTTTTAGGAAGCCTTCAGATGATATTAGATACATTTGTTCCCTTCTTGCTACCCATGTTGTTGCTTGTGCCCTTTTATTGTTTATTTAGCCACATTACAAGCCTATATGAGCCCCATTGGTTACTAGTCCCAAGCTTGGCTTGGGGGAGCTATTAGTTGGTGAGGTGAGGGATTTGTGGTGTGCACATTATTTGCACAATGTGGGAATAAAAGAAGAGTAATTGTTCTTTGATATTATGATTGGAAAATATTGATGTTTTGTGTTACAAAGTTGAAAATTTCCAATATGAGGTAAAAAGAAAAAAAAAAGAGCAAAGAAGAAAAAAATTGTTTCATATGTTCAAATGTTCTATTTGAAGGTTGTTCAAGAAAAAAAAAAAAGAAAAGTTCAAAAGAAAAAAAGAGTTCAAGTTTGAAAAAAAAGAAAGAAGAAGAATAAGTGGTTCAAAGTTTGTTTTATTTCACTCTATTTTATATTATCATATTTTGTGAGTGAATATGTAAGTGTTGAGATTGTGTTGTATATATGATTATTTGGTGAACTTTTGTGGAGTTGAGTTGTGATTGGAGATGATTTGGTCATCACTTGTTGTGACCTTGGGTTTTATTAGGATATGGCTCCCTTTAGCATGGCTTTACTCTCACATTTTCCTAAATTTATCCTACCCTTTACCCTAGCCTTACATTACAAGCTTTAAAGACCTTTCGACCTTTGTGCATAGAGTTGTATGAATGTGAAAGTGTTGTTTATCAATGCAAGTTATGATTTGACATATTGCGAGTCGACTAGTAGGTTGAGCGTTCATTGTTTTAAACACACGAGAGTGTGAGATGGGAGAACATTGTTCACAAATAAAGGGGTTGGTTGGAGAGCGATCGAGTACATCTTTTACTCGCCACATAAATGAGAGTTGAGTGCGTGAGCACTAGTCTTGAATTCTATATGCTCATGTGGTTTGCTTTACTTGACAATTGTTGGGGATAAAGGATGATTAGATGAATGAGATTGATTGACATTGAAGCATGTTCATTAGATTTATCTTGAATCGTTTGTGCTTGATTTTGTTTATTGGGATGAGGCATGTTTTATTGTTCATTGATGAGCTCTTTGCTTAGGGACAAGCAAATGTTTGGCTTGGGGGAGTTTGATATGTCCAATGTATATAGTGTTTTACCCCCGTCCCGTGGTCATAATTAGTAGTGTTTTTGGCTCTTTAGGGCCACTTTTATTACTAATTTGTGTTCTATAGTGTTTTCGTAGTTTTAGTTGAGTTTTACAGGAAATTGCACTTTTGGAGCATTTTCCCGGATTTTCATGGATCGACTACGGAAGCTAGAAGGACACGACCACTCTTGAAGCCCAGGATCGGTGAGAGCCGGTGATTAAGGGCTCGGTATGTGATACCGGGGCTATTGGATCGATTAATCAAGACCCGATGAGGAAATCCAGATTGGGTCGAGGAATCGAGCCCAATCGAAATCCAAGCCTCGAAGAAGAAGCCGGGCCCGAACGGGAAAGCATACGCCCGATCGGGCGGATGCGCGCATAAGCACCTTCAAGGAAAAAGCGCGCCCGATCGGGTGAGTGTAAGCTCGATCGGGCGCGGCATACCAAGCATGGGCAAGTAAAAAGGCGTGCCCGATCGGGCGGCTCTTCGCCCGTTCGGGCGCGTGTTTTTCTTAGGAGATGATTAGTTTTGTTTTAATTTTTGTTTGAGGAATGTTTAAGTACGAATTATGTACGTAAATTTTGATTACCTTCTCTTTTAGATTTTCTCTCTCTACTTAGTTTTTAGATTAATTCTCTCTCTTATGCTTTTGTTCTTAATCTATTCTTGATCCAGATTTCTTTTGGTAACTATTTCTCTTGTCTTAATCTTAGTTGTTTACTTTATTCCTTTGATCATGTCTTGTTTTATTACTTTGATTAGTTTAGTTTCTATTATGTGTGAGTAGTTTTATTTCTAGGGTTTATGGGAATCCATAAATAATATGAAGGGGTGATTTATTGTTGTTGATTGTCAATGCTAGGTTAATTTCCTATTGATTGATTTAATGCTCTGTGACTAGATTAGGCCTGATCTTTTATGCATGAGTTTGACGATATTGTTTCGAGATTCGACAGATGAGAATTGATGTTTAGGTCTAGTTTCAATAGGCAGGTTAATTTATAAATGGTTAGGTCGAGATTCGAAAGATGAGATTTAATACCGGTAAATTAATTGTGTGATTATAATACGTAGCGAAAACCCTTTATAATCTGACTAATGTATGCATTGATGAATGATTATTATATTCTAACTTGAAATATTATTTATTGGTGAACCTATGCCCTAGATCCTTTTATATATTGTTTTCTTCCTATTCTTAACCTTCGTAGTTTAGTCTCATATTCAACTTATATATTGGTTACCTAATAATCTAGATTATATTAGTTAATTAGGAATAGAAAGACTTGTTTCTCTGTGGATTCGACCCTACTTCCCTATCTACATTAGTTAGAGGATTTGAGAATTACTTTTGATTTGGGGATACGACTTTACCCTGTCAGGTTGCCTTAAATGATCCGTGAATGGTTTACAAGTTCCTTAAAAACTTGTTGGAGGCTCCCTACTTTCTTTGTCCCAAATAATATATGTTAATTCCCTCTTCCTATGAGTGCCAAGCATATTCACAACATGCTTAACGTAGGCGCACTTCAAACAAAGCCTACAATCATACTTGATCAACTTATCATCACTGTAGGGAATATTTCAAGCATTACCCAAAACTTGAACCCCACTGTGATCATACACTTAAGCATGGTGGCGTCCAAAGTGAAGGAAGCTAGAGTAAAAGTGTCGCCAACAAGTTTTAGGAACTTGTAAACCGTTCACAAGGTGAAGCTTACACCCCTTAACGATCCAGGAGATCGTTAACTCCAATAGGTCTGGAACCATGATTAGTGTTCGGGGATAAAGGTACAAATCGATCCAATCTAAAAGAGAAAGAACCTGCCCTAATAATAGGCCTCTACTTTATTCTGCTCGTATTCCTATCCTAAGGTTAGGTAGATGTTGGTTGAAGAAAGAAAGGTCAATCGTTAGACGAAGCTATCAAGAAATGATTACATATTTGAAGGGTGAAAGGTGATATGATATGGCTACAAGGGCTGCCTCAAATCATTGGTATACCACTAGTAGAAAATTGTAAAAGGGCACCGGTTCAAACCCCCCCTATAGCACCGGTTTTGAACCGGTGTTTATGTGAGGGATGCCAAAAGGTGAAAGTTTTTGCCACCGGTTACCGGTGGCAATAACACAATTATTAGCACCGGTTCAGTTCAGAATCGATGCCAATAATATAATTTTTAGCACCGGTTCGGTTAAGAACCGGTGCCATTAATGCCCCAAATATATATATTATATATATATATATATTGCATTTTTTTGACTTAAATTGATACATAAACACTTATATATATATAAACTTATATTTTTTTTATTAATATAAAGCTGTAACATTACAATTTTAATTAAAAAAAAAAGAATATAGTTTTATATTGTAACAGATCGACTGTAATAATATTTACAACAGTAGCTTAGAGCAGATTAGCAACAGTGGCGTAGAGTATAGCAGCAGCATCTACAGGAGCATAGAAGCAGTAGCGTAGACCAGAAGAACAACAAGAGCATAGAAGCGGGCAGTAGCTGCAGCAGCAGCAGCCTTGCGAGGTAGCAGCTGCCTTGCGAGGTAGCAGCTGCCTTGCGAGGCAGTAGCTGCAGGGCAGCAGTAGCATCTTTAAATTTGTCAAAATCGCAGCTTGAACCCCTTAATTACCAAGTTAACATCCTGATCAGGCTTGAGAGAGCAGAGAGCTTTATTAAAAACTAAATGATAAAATTTCAATCTAATAAAAAGCTTAGTTTGTTACACTGCCTGAAAGTCTGCTTATAATCATAGATAATCATTTTTACGGAATAGGAGAAATTAAGGCGAAAATGTACTCTGTATTAGACTTAAAAAGACAATATAGCATTAGAATTCAATAATTCAATTCGGTCATTTAAATTTTGATTCTTTCTTTCTGTCTTTTGAAATATGCAGAAACTATGAATGTTATAACAAAATTTTGAGGCACAACTCAAAAAAAAAAAATTAATAATAAAAAAAAAACAGATGACAAAAATGAAAATTTTATAAGCAAATATGAAAGCAAAACAACACCAAATTCACAGTAGCGTAGAGCAGATTAGCAGCAGCGAGAGTATTACAACAGTGGCGTAGAGCATAGCAGCAGCATCAGGAGATCAGAACAGCAGCAGGGCATAGAAGCATGAAGCAGCAGCCTTGCGAGGCAGCGGCTAAACAGATCCAGGAATATAATGCATAAACAGAAGTCTACTTTTTCTCATATGCTTCTTTATTCTTTCAATTTTTTAATTTCATTTTACAAAAGTAGAATGTTCAATCATTTTATTGAATCTAAGTACTATGCCAACATTCTAAACTGAATTTTACCCACAATTCAACCAATAACAAGCATCAAAACCCACTACATACACTTAACATTATTTAAAAACAATCAAAGTCATATTGAAAATTAAAAAAATTACTGAGTCATGACTACTAGTGAGTTGTATTGTTGTAGTCCTATGAAAGTAAAAAAAAAAAAAAAAAAAAGAAAAAAAAATGGTGCAATTGTTAAGAGTCATGACTTGATTTTGATGAATGTTCTCTTTTGAACTCCACTTCCATATTTTACTCATTTAAATCCAAAAACCTGGGGCTCAAAATTTAAGGTTCTCCCATCTAGGCAAGTCACAATAGGGATCAAATACACATTTACACAAGCTTGAAACTAACACTTCCACATTTTATGACAAAGACGTAAAGCTGTTCATATATAGCTATAGTCGTCTTTTTATTAAGAACAGGAACTAATCTACAATTGTCCAATCTGTATATCACAGTAGTAAAATCACAAAACTTGACTCAATTTACTTATCATTCAAATTAATAAGGACACAAGAAAGTCTGTTATTACAGTGCTCATTTCTATAAATATTACAGTGCTCATCTTAAACCGAACGCCTACATAAGTTTGTTATGAGTAGCTACATAAACCTGATAACACGCACTCTAAAAAATACAGGACCTAAACCAACGGAAACAAAGAGTAATTCTAAAAAATTCATTCTAATACACATAACCTCAATTAACACACCAAGAACAAAGAGAAATCAATTATCATACCAATCAATCCACCAAAACAACTAAAAATATCATCTTTTCGAGATTTTTTCAAATCCAAGTAGCAAAATCATTATCATTACAAACAAAGCAATCATCCAACATAACAATCCCAAACAAAATCACGAAACAAAAATAGCTACTAGTATAATCGCACAAAATAAAATCACATTTGATACTAGTATACTCACAAAACCATTCCAAACAATCCCAAGCTGAATGAGAACAAAAAAAAAATCCAAAACACCTAAATTAAGCTCATAATTTGTCTCAATGAACTTAAGCTGAAGGAGAAACAAAAAAAAAAAAAAAAAAAAAAAAATCCAAAACACCCAAATTAAGCTAAAGGAGAACAAAAATAAATCCAAAACACCCAAATAATCACTTCACAAACCTGCACAATTTCCTTTTTTTTTGTTTTATTTTGTGAACTTCTCCTTTAGGAAGTGGGAAAGACTCCTTTGCCTCAAGGTCGAACTCTGTGGAAAAAGCATCACTTATTCCCACCCACTTAACTGCCCCATTGTTCGCTTCAATATAGATAACATTTCCGACAGCCACTTGCATCAACAAACAAAGATAAGAGATCTCAGAGTGTGTATTAATCAAAGACAAGAAGTAGTGTAGTTTTAATTAAACCTGGAGAGTAATACTAGCTTAAATTAAGCTCAAAAATAAAAACACCCAGATTAAGCTCATAATCCAAAATCAACCATATCTCAAAAACCCATCACAGTTCCACATTATAAGATTAAAGTACAATAATTCAATGAAAACCCATAAAATCCCAATCCAATCAGATCAACCCCAATCCCCGAAACCCAACAAACAAGACTAATTCCACAACTAATCAAAAACCCCATCAGATTAATTACCAAACAAAAATCAAAAAACAAAATAAACCATCATACTTCCAATAAAAAAAAAAGGAATGGCAGCAACACGAGTACACCCAACTTGGGTGGAAAATCTTTAATTTTGCATACCCAACTCAAACATAGAGTATAATCAATCAACAAAATTGCCAGAAATTGCAATAAAAATCACAATAAAATCGAAAATAAAACAACAATTTAATACAGAATTAGCAAGAAAATAATCATATTAAACCAATAACAAAGAATCGCAAAACAATTGAAAAAAAAGAGAAACCAAACCAAATATAGTGTGACAGGATTAATTGATTATATCAATTGACTTCAATAAACACTCACATTTTGAATAATTCGGCAAAAAAAATGGGTTTTCTACCTTGCATGTTATATCAGTCGACTCCCATAGTTGATTATATAAATTCATAGACTAATTCTTACCCAAAATTGTTAAGAAATTGAATTTGTAGAAGCGAATTACCTGGAATAAACGATGCTACAGTACTACCAACCATGTTAAACTGTTGAAGCCGCCGGAATAGAGAACCTTGTTTCGGATTTGATCAGGACGGCCACCGGAAAAGCAGATGTACGAGGGTAAGGTGGAGTAGAAATAAGAAACCCTAGATCTAGTTGAGGAGAGAGGAAAGAGAGAGAGAGAAGAGGGAGATCTTAGTTGAGGAGACAAGAGAAAGAAGAGAGAGAGAGAACTTGAGATTGAGGAAAGAGAAAGAAACAAGAGGGGCGGTTTTTTTTTTTTTACATTAATGAATTGCCACCGGTTTAAACCGGTGCCATTTCACCAATTTGGCACCGGTTTGGTTTGAACCGGTGGCATTTCTTTTATACTAATTCTGCCTAATTTTTTTTCCACCGGTTCTTAAAAACCGGTACCACTAACTCGGTGCCTATTTATGTTTTTCTACTACCTTGCGCTTAGTTTGGCATGATAATTTTTTTTTGGGCAATACAATGATCATATGTTAGGAAATAAATGTTCATTTTATTTAAAAAGTGAAGGGTAAAAATCAAACTCTAAGAAATAAATTTAAGGAGGATAAAGGGTGCCTATGCTAGACTTATTGGGGAAAGGGTTTGAAAAAAAAAAAAAAAAGCATGAAATCTTGGTGAGAAGCTTGCCTTGTGCATTTGTTTCATCATTACCCTCATTTTTTTTTGGTCAATCACATGACTCAAACTCGATTCAACATGCATGGATGGAAGAAGGTAAGAATAATGAAGGTTGTAATATGGATAAAGCATGTAGAGAATGGAAAGATGATGTAGATGGAGAGATATGAAAAAATTAGGAATAGAATGTACCCCCAACTCAAATGACGGAAAGAACCAACTCATGTATGAACCTAACACATGGTCATGGTGACATATACACAAAGTGTGTGCTACGACTAGTGAGCGTAGGTGACATGTTAAAACTCGTGTTATGACCATGTGGCTAGACTATGTGACTAGACTCGAGCAAAGACTAAGTTAAGACTTCATGTATATGCATTAAACTGGACAGGCTGTGGTATTTTAGTCATAACTTTTGATCTGCGACTCTGATTGGGATGAAACCAACGCCAAATTAAAGATAAAACTCGAGGCTATAGATCCATAGGTTTTATGACTCGTAGTTCTTCCTAAAACTCCGGCTATGACCAAAAAAAGTTGACACTTGTGCAGTATACGGGAATAAAAATCCGGGCTGACTTAAAGGAACTATGACTCGAGGTATATTTATTGGTTCCAATTAAATAATTAATTAATTAAGCAAAGCCCTTTAGTAATTGGTTAGTTTATTAAGACTTATTTACAAACATAAATCAAACCAAACAGTTAATTTAGTTACATAATAAGTATGCACAAGTAAGAGATGCACAAGTAGTCAAGGAGTCACAACATGGTGCAATGAGTTTGCAACCTAACCATGGCTCTAGTTCTTTAAAGTTCGGGATATGGGTTAGTCAAAGAGGGTCCATGGTTATGAGTCCGGATGCACCGCGCGGAAGCCTTACCTTTGGAAGAGTTGGCACGAGTGGATGGAACCCTGCGAGTTAAACTCGCTTCCATGGTTTGGTGAATTCAACATTCTCGGATGTACCCTTTGTTGCTTAGAGCGTTCAATCAGGTAGATGGAGCATGAATTCCTAGAGGGTTATGTCCATATGTAATACACATATGGGTTTCAGAAAAATGAGAAAAACTTAATCAGGAAGTAGAATTGAGCCAACAATGCTTGAACTGGTCGAAATAAGAACGCATATTTCTGGCTCGGTATTGGAAGAACGCAGCGCCAGCCAACAGGGACTGTCTCTAGGATATGATCCCTGTCGCCTGGCGACAGAATTATCGCTCGGCAACAGAGCCATATCTTCGGCGATAGGCTCTGTTTTTTAGACGCCAGTTCCTATATGCCTCAGCAGTTGTCTGTGTTCTTAAATTTTTCCAGTTTTTCGCAGCATTATTTCGATTCTAGTTGTGAAAGATATTCCTCAAATTTCCTACGTGTAAAAATCCTATGTTATTGACTCATTACGGATGGTCTTTCCAATGAGAACCTTTTTTTATGCACATGACAATAATGTTAATCAAAATTACGCACATAAAGTACTTAGGACTTTTCGAGTCTCATCCACTCATTCTAAATCATTGCCGAAATAAATTTCATGAATTAAAATAGAAATCCTCCCCAGCGGAGTCGCCAAAAACTGTAGGGAATATTTCAAGCATTACCCCAAACTAGAACCCCACTGTGATCATACACTTAAGCATGGTGGCGTCCAAAGGGAAGGAAGCTAGAGCAAAAGAGTCGACAACAAGTTTTAGGAACTTGTAAACCGTTCACAGGGTGAAGGTTACGCCCCTTAATGATCCAGAAGATCGTTAACTTCAATAGGTATAGAACCAAGATTAGTGTTCGGGGATGAAGGTACAAATCCAACCTAAAAGAGATTGAACCTGCCCTAAAAATAGGCCTTTACTTTATTTTTCTCGTATTCATGTGCGCTTTCTAACTAACATGCAATCAATAGGTTAACCCTAAACCTGTTTAATCTATGTTGGTTGAATATTAATGCACAAATAAATCTATTATTGGCGATCACTTGAATTATAATCAAATTAACCATAAACAAGATTATTAATTATCTTATTAAGTGTGATTACAAGTACCAATTCCCTTTAAACATGCATAAAAGGTGTGATCAAGCAATAACAACAAATATAAATCAAACAACATAATAACATAATAACAATTATAAAAATAATCATGATTAAATATAATCATGTAAATAATCATGTTAAAAATAAAGCATAATAATAATAGAAAGATCCTAGGCATAATACTAACAAGATTAATAACAAACCCTAGCATGTCACTAAACATCAAAGATCAAAGCTTTAACTCTAACATGATACTAACATGCTATTAAGAAAGAAAACAGAAAGCATCACATAAATCATAATTGATACAAGCAAATCACCTTAGATATCATACTAAGGAAAGTATCCTATCATGATACTAGGAATCAAGATAACAACCTAAACATGATTTCTATAAAACAATTAAAGCACTTACTTGGATGCCTCGTACCTCTTTCTAATAACAAAATACACACGTTAGTAACTTCAAGGAAAATAATAAAACTAAAGAATTAAATCAAATAATTGAAATAGAGATTTGGGACCAAACCCTCAGATATATCAAACCTTTCACATCTAGGGCGAAGGCAACTTCGAACTTAGCTAGGTGTGTCTAGATCTTGTGAATGCGGAATTTTGTTTGAAAAGGGTTAGTTCAGAAAGAGAGAGAGAATATCAAGATTTTCTTGATGAGAGTTGGTTAGAGTTGATGATTAGAAAAAGGGGAGATATGACCTCTATTTATAAAGAAAAAAGAAGGTCGAAGAATAAGAAAAGAATCCGAATTCGAATCGAAATAGAATTCGATGGACAACAGTTTTTGCAGATTTTGTTTTCATCATATCTTTTGATCCAGAAGTCCAAATAAGGCATATAATATGTTGTTGAAAAGCTCTTGAAGTCTACTTTTGAATCTAATTAGAATAAGATTAAAATCTTTTGTAGATAAAAAGATATGAACGAAATAGTGGAAGGGTGTCAGTTTTGGAAAAATTTTGATATTCCATTCGTATTTTTTCCGTTATAGCTCGGATTTAATATTATAATATATCATTAGAAAGATAATTTCAAGATCTATCCAATCATATAAAATTTGGATAAAGATTATGAGGCACAAAAATAATATTTGACTGTCTTTAAACATCTTTAAATTCGAATAGATTTAGGATTAAAAAAAAAAGGAAAGTTTTTATAAAAGGAAAGTTTTTATTTAACTCAAATTCTTTAATCTTATCTTTTCAAAAAGGATAATTAAGATCTTTTAGAAACTTATAGAAGCTTCTAATTAATCCTAATTAGTTTAGGAATAGGATTAGGCCTTTGGACCCTCCACATGATCATTGGGCTGTACGTAAAATCCGATTTAGGCCCAGTTTAGTATTTTGGCCATAACTTCCTCATTATTCATCGAAATTGGGCTTATAATATATTGTTGGAAAGATCTTTTCAAAACCCATCCAACTACACTATTATTGGACACATATCATGGACTAAAATAAACTGGAATGCACGTTTTTCATAAATATGGTAAGAAAAAAATATATTTTCTAAAACAGAAAGAAGAGATATTTTAATAAAAACATCCTCATCACTAGAATTTTCACACTTTCACTTCATTCGATTATAATTTGACGCGAAAGGTATTCATCACCGGGTTTTGTTTTGGGGAGACACAAATGGGTGTCTACAATCATCAAACACTTGTTAAGGTGCCAAAAGCCTAACTATAGCGTCAATCAACACCATTTTTTCTATGTTCAATGCCATTTTTATACTTTATTAAGTCCAATCCCTTTTTTTCTCCAAGTTCCAACCAAGCAAGCCATGCCAATCTGCTGGATTTTGGAGTAGTTTCCTTCCTTTGTTGAAGGATATCATTGTATACATGGCGAACTAAATGCTCAAATGTTGAAATAATCTCCACAGGACCTGTGAAGGGGGAAGATTAACATAATTAGTCGATCATCTAACAAAATTCAAAAAATTTGATAAGCATAATTGCCTTCATACAAAAGAGACCATTAGTTTATTCTCTAGAATTTAGAGAATATAGTACAAAAAGAGCTTGTAATCTAATAAGAAACCAAGCTAATAACCCAATGTCACTCTCCTTCAGTCACTTTAACATCTATCACCAAATACTTCTATAATGCTTGTAATTTGCAAACAAACAATTATCATCATTATGTCAACTACATTCGTAATATGCTATAGCTTTGTAAAAATGAAAATTAAAGCCTAATGCCTTTATTGATGTAGATCAGATAGTAGGATGTATTATTGGAGTTTCGTTATGCATCAAGAAATTCATAACGAACAAAAAATGGGGGGTTTATACAACGGGGTGGTCCCGTCTTGCAGGAAAAAGTATTCTACTATCCCCAAAAAAAAAAGAAATACCAAGTATATTGTGCATAGTAGAATACATGTATAATTTTTTTTACAACCTTTGTTTTAAACTTTTCTCCCTTTTTACTTTAACCTTTCTTAATTCTTTTTTTACTTTAACCATTTTTTACTTTTCACCATTATGTCCCCCACTGTTGAAGCTCGATTGCACCTCCCTCACCAACTCTAGGAGCTCGAG